CATTTCCATGAAAACAAAGGAACAAACTCATTTAATTTACCTGACTTTTGATCAGGAATTCTTCACGACCCGGTCGCCGATTAAAATTCGCCCGGCAAAGTCTATCAGATCTGATTAATTTAAATATTTCTGATTGATATAAATGAAAAAAAATCCATCGGCTTCTGCCAAACGCGCGGATGAAAAAAATTCCACGATACAGTTGTTTAGAAAACACCAAAATCTGGGAACAATTATATTTATAGCGACCTCTTGCAAACGAGTTTTCGCTTCAAAATACAGTTAGTCACCCTCTCGGAAAAGACAGTTTAAACGAAATATTCAATTAAATGTATACTTACTGAAATATACAGAGACAAGCTGATGTCCAATATGTGTATTTTCCAGATTTGAAACTCGTCCGAGTCACTATTTTTTCATGGCAGTAAGGACATGTAATGTAGACTGGAACGTCTTCGAACGCCGTTTCAGCATCGGAAGATTCACCGCCATCTGCTCCCGCAGCTGCTGGTTTCGCGGATTCTTCGCTTTCACGCGCTTTTTGCGACACCAGATGTATTCGTTCTTCGTCTGACATGTTTCAAATGAAACCCGAGAGAGAAAAAAAAAACACCTCGCTAAAAAATCGGAGACGCCGATTCAGATCTAAAAAAACTCTACTAATTCCCGACTACTCAGTTCTCAACTCTGTTTTGAAATTGTTACTTTAAACAACACGACATCGAAGTAGTTGATCGTATTTCTTATTCGTTACCTGTTGTTTAGTTTAGGATTTGCTATTGGCCACAACAACATCCGCGCCTCTTTGTTCCTCTATTATGAAGCGAATATTTTTCGCTTAACTTAAGCCAATCAGCAGAAATCATTTCATTCTTAAGACTCCGACATGACGATAATAAATGTTGTTTCAGAATTATTGAAATAACAATATTTTATACGCTACATACAAATTAGATAAGTGCGTCTGAACGATTTAGCAAAAGAAAAATTGTATAATCAAAACTTATCATTGTAAATATTTTGGACTGTCTAAAATTTACTTCCGAGAACCACTGTTTTCAGCAGTATAATCTAAAGAATCTTATATACAATACATTCTATGATCTTTGCTGTTGTATAAAAACTATAAATGAATTAACTCGGAGTTGTGCTCCATAGATGAGAGATGGAAGATGACCCAAGAAGTCACAGGGAGAAAAACAGAATAGATATTTACTTACGTGTCTCTGAGAATAAATAAAACATTAAATCTGATACATACAGTTTATTTGTATTAGATTCTAACCGGGAAACTGCTATACAGCCGCCCAAAAAAAGGGTTGTTTGATTCTCTAGCAGATTAAATTTTTTATTACAATCGTTTCTCTAGCTAAATGGATTAGCAAGCCTTAGCGCTTGCTTAGTAGAGGCCATGCGGTTTTGTGGTCTTGAAGATTTATAACTACAATAAATTACTTCAATAAGACAACACTTGCAGTCCTGGATTGATTGGTATTGTTTATGTTAATCTCACCTTTTCATGTATTTTATGAAAGGTCTTCGAACGACAGTAAAGAAAATTTAAGGGTGAACAAGCTAAATTATAAATTTAAGGATTTGTGTGATGTTGGGGAATCGGATTCATAAATAACGATACACTGTGCTTTCGAAAAAAAAGAGGGAACAGGCCAACAACAGCCGATCATGAAAACGAAATGATTTAAAAACTCCACCTTATGAAAATCGAAGTGAGATTGTTAATGCTCGAGACCAGAAAAAACGGGGAATGCGATCATGTGCTAAAATTTCGCATATAAACCACTTTAACTGCAAACTTTACATTTACTGAAGACATAACAAGAGATTTATAGATATAGACCGCTCCTATTGTTATGAATATTGCTCTTCAGCTCAGTATAACGCCCTTCAATTGTCTAGTGATAGCGCCACTTCGTCCCTGGGGCCCGTTTCTCGAAAGACCCAGAAACTTTTCGGGCCCGCAGAGCTATCTTTAATTAATCTGTATCTAAAAACAGAGAGGTGTATACGCCTGAAACTTCTTGTATGAAGAGAACCTCTGTTCATATTNTAAAATTTCGCATATAAACCACTTTAACTGCAAACTTTACATTTACTGAAGACATAACAAGAGATTTATAGATATAGACCGCTCCTATTGTTATGAATATTGCACTTCAGCTCAGTATAAGGCCTTTCAATTGTCTAGCGATAGCGCCACTTCGTCCCTGGGGCCCGTTTCTCGAAAGATCCAGAAACTTTTCGGGCCCGCAGAGCTATCTTTAATTAATCTGTATCTAAAAACAGAGAGGTGTATACACCTGAAACTTGTTGTATGAAGAGAACCTCTGTTCATATTAAGAATATGCGAAAAAAACAGCTCTGTAATCATAAAGTTTGAGATTTTGCTACGGCTTTCCGGGTGCGAAAACATTTCGGGACCTTCGAGAAACGGGCCCAAGGCCAGACCTTCCTTTGAGATGCGCGGTGTGCGTTTGTTTTTTTTTTCCCTCAAACTTCGCCTTCAATGCCTTTTTTTCGGGGACGAGGCAACCTGGGGAGACTGGGTTCTACAAACCATTATCGCATTCAGATTCTCCCGGTTCTCTTACTCAACCGGAGTGCCCATGCAGACAAGAACCTTGACCGTTGTTAGAATATACCTTTTGTTGAATGAGAAACACTGCGAAGTATACCCAACTTGCGGGCGGATGGGACTTGTCTCCACACAGATAGTCCGAGAGCTTAAATAAACGTAATTATAAGTAGAAACTGACTTTCAATTCACCTTATTCTGTACGTAACATCGCTTCCTTAATCACGGAATACATAACAAAAAAACACAGCTGTTAAATAATTCGACGCCGGGTAATTAAAGAAATACACGAGAATAACATATACAACTCAACTTTATTGTTGCGGGAAAAAAGCTGAGCCGCATCAAAGGGGGAGGAGCCGATACCGAAACCGTCCTCTCTTCCCCCCCCCCCCCCGTGATGCGGCCACAGGGTGGGAAGGGGTGGGTGAAAACAAAATGACTACAATACAGACGATGGCAAACTAACTGACATAACAGATTAGTCTCTTAAGCACGAGTTCACAGCACAGTCAATAATTAACTATTGGAGCTCCGTATGGAAAGTTGTTACTTTCAAATTTTCATACACTCACGGGTATATGAATGAATAATTTTATGAATTTTAGGTGGTCTGTAATGGGAAAACAAACCACTCAAGATAAAAAGGTCTATAGCAACTGGGTTCCTCGCGCGCACAAAATTTTTTTAATTATTTTACTAGCAGCAGGATTAAAAGTTTCCTGTGCAGCCATTGTTTATGTTCTTATACAGAGCTTTGCCTGCATATCGGGCACCAGCGTTACTATAAAGCGCGAGTCACCAGAATTTTCCTCGCGCGCACTCACTCATTTTCCTCGCGTGCGCGTCCATAACTCGCGCCACTTACTTTTGCAAAATCCTTTTGCAATGCCACTTTCGAGGGTTGCGCGCCATACATAAACAGCTGCGCAGGAGACTAAATAAATGATACATATGATCATTTAACAAGAGGACCTACGCGCTATTATTAACTATATATCGCTAGGCTATCGAGAAGCTATGCTTCAATTGCTTCAATGTCTGCTGAGGTAGACAGCGATCAGAATTCCTCCAAGAGCGACAACTGTGGCTCCAAACACAAGCTGCCATCCGAGAAGCTGCAAAGTAAAACATAAAACCATCACGACAGTTCCGTCACACTTATTTTTGAAAAAAAAAAATAAGAAGATTAACGTAGCGAGCACGTCAAGTTGACGTTTCGAGTGTCAGGCCTAGAGTGGCTCATGCTCGAAACTTCAGTGATACAGCTGTAAATTAATTTCAACATGGATGTTAGCCTGCGAACAGGCTCCCAGAGAAGACGGAAAATATAAATTCGGCGAGCGCGAAATCAAGAATGAGCGAAGCGATCGGGGCGGGACAGGGGAGCCTGTGGACTTTGTTTTTGATGTGCCTATCCGCCCTGTAACAAATCAGTCAATGAGGTAATTGGACCTGTCAAGAAGCCACATTTTCTGTACTTGTAAACAGTTCTAATCGACCTAATCAAACAGCCGGGCCCGGCGCCCGGCCCGGCGTCATAATATAGAGTGCAAGTAAGCATGTTCACGGAATATTTCAAACTTTGTCCCTCCAGAGCTAATACTTAGAGAGTTTAAAACATAATTTGCAATACTGAAATGAGCCTAAATAAATTATAAGCACATGATAGAGGTGTCAAACTCAGCAAAGCGACATGCAAACAACAGCGGAAAGTCCGGAAGCCATGCCTTTGACCTCTAAAACAAATTTGCTATAGCACAGCCAAACGGCTTCTACTTAAAATTCCTCTTCATAACAGAGCATAAAGTTCCCTTCAGAATCACTTGTGAAATGACGAAAGATCGAGAGACGGCAATTAAAAGAGAACGGCAAATGCACAATTGCCACGAACTGTGGGAGTCGTGTAGGGCGGTCAACCGCAGTTTACAGAGACCTGTCAAATGTTTATCTCAAAGATGTCAACAATCAGCGATTTAGCCAATCATATCACGATACCAGGAGCTGGTATCATAGAACAGCGGCATCAATAGAATGTCTACAGGCTCCCTCGCTTCGTTCGGGCTCACCGGGAGCCTGTTCGCAGGTTACATGGATATCCAATATCAAAGATGTACCTATGGTAATGGTGCTACTCTCTTATTTTTAAAGGTATGGGGCTTGGCGTACGAACGTACGGACGCACAGTCACGTGACAACCAAAATTTTGAGGTCCATGAGTTACCAACTTTTCTCAGGTATGGGGCTCCACTCGCACGCCTTCGGAGGGCAGGAGCTCCGCTATAATTTTAAGCTTTGAAGATTGCGGTACATACCGATCGGTTATTTTTCTTGCTCCCCTTGCCAGCCAGGTCTCCTACCATTCGTCGGTACATACTTCTTTCGCTGCGTTTCTCCGAGGCCAGTAATTGTTTCAAACGAGTGAGTTCTTTTCGAATTGTCTGAAAAGAAATCTACATTCTAATTTATACCCAATTCTAACCAAAGCTTAAACTAAAGCAGTTAAAAGCTGCTCAGAAATCCTTTGTACAGAAGCTCGAACCAACGTTTAATATCTACTTGAACTGCCTAACATGACAGGTTCCAATTTGGTAAACTTGGTTTTATTTAATTAAACATGACCAGAGTGAAGTGCGTGTTACTGAGTTTTCTGTTGAAGAGTTAAACATTAATTATGTTGGTGGAGATCCACGTGCAAGGGTCACTGTACTGGTCCAGGTTGCTCAAAGCACCAGGGTGTCTCACTTTTAATTAGTTTTAGTTTTGATTCCTCTTTGATTTATTCTTAACTTTACTTGAAATTAGCAAAAACAAGACAGGTAGAGCAATTTTGCTTTGACTGGCGTCACCGACCTATAACAAATGTTCAGATTATCCAGTGAACCAATCAAAGCTCCGCAAAACAAGTGCACGTCATCAGAGAAAAGTGCGGGAAAACGTGTGAACGAGTTATGATTGGCCCTGATCTCTATCTCTGATTGGTCATGACGTGGTCCTAAGCGTAGTAGAGTAAAACCAAAGCAACGCGGACTACTTTCGACACTCCACTGAAAATGGCTCTTATTCTTTGGTAAACGGGTCTTCCACCGGTCTTCAAACGAAATGTTATTTGGTTGCAGAGGATCAATGCGTGACGACCCTGGCCCTTCCCAACGAGGAAGATGGTGACTCTCCAAAGGCCGGTTAGCGGAAATCACACAAAGAAAGCCACATATGGTGGGAGAGTTGCATAACGGTGGGACAGAGATCCAAGCACAAGGTAAATCCGGCACGCTACTGTAAATAATCAGTAGCCGTTTCACAGGCTTCTCTGCACAATGCGCGCTAACAGCATGATCAGTATGTATAACAGTATGATTCAGATTGATGTCCTGGAAGTACAGTGTTATTCTAACTTACTTGATTGCTGGGGTCCAACTGATCTGCCTTCTTGATAAGCTCTATAGCTTGATCTGTATCTCCACTAGCTGCTAAAACCTGGGTGTTTGAATTCAATATAATCTGAATTTTTATTCATATGATATAATATTTACTTTTACATTTACTTTTTCATTTATGTGGAATACCTGTGAATTAGCTGGTGTGCCATTTCATTATGTAATGTCACACCTGGATACAATAAACTTGTATTGATTGATTGATTATCATAGTATCTTCCTGATGAATTGGTCCGAGAAATGAGAAAGATTCATCACTATGGGATGAAAGGCTTCTTGTCAAGTTTAACGCTATTTTGGGCGACAAGTGGGGTGACTAGTGTGCCTCCACCCCTATAATCCCTGACCTTCAACTATTAACTACCATATGTAATTCAGTGGAATTTCACTGTTTACCCTACCTTGCCTTTCCTGAACAAAGCCTTTACATTATCAGGATCTACTTGTAAGACTTGAGAGCAAGACTTCTCTGCTGCAGGATAGGCTTTTATCTGGAACAATAAAACACGGAGTGGGCACTTTCTGTAAATCTGAAAGCATCCCATTTTGAATGTTAATGATTTGTTACCTTCAGCTGGGCAGCAGCCATGTTATTCCAGCATTTTACTCTCAAGCTTTGAACTTCCTATCAAGATATAACATAAAGTACTTGTCAGAAGATAACATCATGTGATAGAAGTCTCCAGCTCATAATCTAATTGTTAAATAGAAAAATTATCTACATTTGTGCTTTAATACAACATTTATTTTTATTAGTGTTTTATCAGATCACCCCAACAATTAGCTTGTGAATGAACCATTTCCACAACTGTGTGAAGGAAAACTAGCTAGGGTTAAAGGACAGAGTTTTCCAAGATTCTGAGAAACCATTTTTGAAATAAGTACACTGAAATACAATGTAAGTTTGGCACAGTGGAAGATGAACAGTATGGAGTTCATCCTATGGTAAATGAGTCATTGCAAAAGGAGCACATAATGTCTTGCAAATGAGATTTTATTACATTAAAATTGAAACAGACCTTAGATGTGGATGATCCCAGATATTTAATGGCTCTAAAAAACAAGATGAGAAAAAATAGATGAAATGTTGAAATATTTTGAACAAAATTAACAGCCTATTAACATAGATTCAAGGAATCTGCAAAAAAGAAAATATGGGTAAGAAAAGATTGGCTAACAGACTGACGATGCAAACATGTGTGAACATAGCCCAAGCATGATAGAAAATTTGGGAAAATTCAAAAGTATTTGAAACCCAAAATGCAGGACAATGCTTATGCAAGGATTTTTTAAGTGCCTATGAGATTAAAAATAATTGTTGCTTATTTGAAAGGCTTTTCAAAATAAAGAAGAATGGCATTTACCTTTTTGGGAATATCTTTCTTCGCTTTAGAGATATTTACGTTTTTGTATTATGCAAATGAGGGATAAGTAGTTCCACTTAAACAGTAAAACACTGAATCAAGAATATCTCTACAAATATTGGTCAGGAGCGGTATTCTTGGCAATGGCACAACAGGTGTCATTGTTTCTTTTGTGATGTGCATTTCTGATGATAAATTTAAAGAACACTGCTCTAATATTTCTCGACATATTCTTGATTGAGTGTTGTACTGTCTTTTTGGATCACTTATAAATGACGTCATCACTTTCCTCATTTGCATAATACAAAAATGTAAATGAATCTCTACAACTAAAAAAGATATTCCAAAAAGGAAAGCACCATTCTTCTCTATTTTAAAAAGCCTTTCAAATAAGCAGCAATTACTTTTTATTTCATAGGCAAAACTGTGTTTAAGTGGACTTGTGCAAAGAACTTATGTGTAGTTACACAAATTCAATTTATGAAAATGAAGTGGTACTGTAATTATTTTAATCATGTAACAATTATACCTTTGATAACTGTTAATGGCCCCGGCATAGTCTCCTGCCGTATACAAATTATTACCCATTTCTCTCTTCTTCTCTCTGAAAACAAAACATGCAATGCTTACTTCCACTGTGTTTAGAAACAATAAAAAATGTTACAGCATATATGGCATATATATATGTGGTAATTCTTTAAGAAGTTCTTGAAATAAACATACTGTAATATTATTGTAAGAGTAAGAAAAGAAATGTATTGTAATATTGTGTAGTTAATTATAGTTTAATTGATTGTGTTTTGTTTGTATAATGTAAGAAGTAACAGCTAGATGTAGATAACTTCAAGCAAAAATAAAAAAAATCTAGTGTAAGTGATGTAATGTAAGTTTAGTCCTGTGAAAATGTGTATTAAATAAATGTTGCTGTTGTTGTTGTTGTTGTTTTTTTAAAAAGAGTACCCAGTTGACTGTACAGGTTCAAACTGCAGCTTCTTTTAAACAAGGATGACAAATTTGGTTCCACCTTCCTAGTCAATGGTCATCAAATCATTTCATGTCACTAGCAGATTTAATTATTGCATATTAGGATCAATGTTCACACTTTACCCAATGGTCATTCTTTCTTCATCACTCATAGTATTGATATTAGGACCATCTCGAACTGCTAGCAATTGTATTTCGTAAGTCAGCTTAGCATCAGGGGGAATGGGTGGATTTGCGTCTGGTCTGAAAAGAGAGAAAAGTACTCTAAATTCTTGCCTGCTTTAAATCATCAATCATATAAACTGCTAATAAATCAAGTTTATTTTTTAATGTTTCACTTTAATAGAACAGTCGTTTGGTTATTGAGTTATGGATAAAATGGGTACAACTTCACAGTGCACTGTGGTTCAATGATCCAATGTTGATTGGATGTTAGCTCAAAGGTTTGCAAATTTAACTCATATAAATTTTGCTCATCAAAATTGCCAAGTTACAGTTTTCTCTTTTCGTACATAAATAGCCTGTGATTAGGGTCCCTTCTGGGTTTAGGGAGCAAAAATTCAGGGAGTAACTAAAGCGAGTCAAGTATCAGCCAATAGAACACTCAAACTCATGGTCTTATTGCTGAATACATAATTTTTTTTCTCAAGATCTGTCCTTAAAATAATGGTATTAGACAAACTATTCATTGCTGTCAGAAGATATACAAAACCAATTAAAGAAAATATAGACATACTTTCCTGTTTTTCCATAAGCATATCTGGCATCTGTAACAAGTTCACAAACTTCATCCAGCTCTGTGAGAGCTAAAGCTAAATCAAAGGCTGAAAACAAAAGACGCCTCTTTCAAGACATTGACAACCCACACACTATAAGGTCAACTGAAATACAATACTGCTACCACAATCATAGCAAAAGAACCATCAACACCCACAGGTAAGCCCAATGCAGTCCAATGCAGGGTTAATTTCCAGCATTGAATTATTTATGCACCTGGATAGAGTAAAGGGTTTTGCCGAAGAACACAATGACCCCAGCCGGGGTTCTGAGCCAGGCTGCTACATCCAGAGTCCAGTGCACTAAAAATGTGCGGTGTGTAGCCAGGCATGTTAAAAATTGGTAAAAAAGGAAAGGAATTAAATGGTTGTCACTGGCTAAAAATATGGTTATCGGATGTTTCGGCCACTAC